AGAAACACCAGAATGCTCAAGTGTAAGGCAAGAGTTCCCTTTGCCAGGTAAAGAATTTTTGAAAGCTTGCGTACCCTAACATAAATTCCACCTAAAATCAATGGAGATCCACCTGTTGGAACATGAGTGGACCAGAGGACGGGAAGGGTTCCTCGGAGAACGAAGGCGAGACGCATGTGGACGGGGACGAGGAGAGTGGGTAATCCGACTCCTGGGTTACTCGGGGAAGAAAGCTTTATTTTCCGGACAGGAATTGATGGGGATATGGGTGAGATCGCGTTGAACGCGTTGAAACCTTGTACTCTTAATTTTGTAGGACCATCAATGGTTGATGTTTTTGATGGGAAATTTATTTACTTATCGTGGTTCAATTAATAATTGAAACATTTCTTCAGTCATAGTTGCTTCCAAATCTAGGGAAAACTAGCATGATCCGACTCTTCTCAGCAAGTCTTCTTTCCTTCTCGTTTCGCGTCTCGCCCCAACTACGAAACGAATGACACAAGAGAAGAAATGCATGAGTTCGGACTGAAGTCCGAACGCCCGGCGCCGCCCGGCCGAACATCTGTTACATAGCGAGATTGCGCATCGCAAAACCATATACACTGCGCTAATGCGCTCCATTGCACTGAACCCACCGCAAAAGGTGTAAATATCGGATACCGAGATCACGAGCCCTGGGAATGCATGGGAATGAGGGAGTATGTGAATGAAGCAGTTTCTGCATCAGCTCGGAAAAAGAGCAGGAAAGGTCATGACTGAAAGAAAAATGTGGCACTTTTTACGCCGCAAGAATTGGAGGTTTTATGAATGAAATGCGAGGCCCTTCGTTGTTTAGCGATTTATCTGCTCCAATTTTAAAAGTGGGAACATTAGCGTTTTGAAGTTGAAAATCGAAGCATAAAGCAAAAGAAGACAATCATTTCCGAATTCAATAGCGAATTTTAAAATATAACATTGAGGCGTCGGTGAAAACTGCGTCGACATTGCGCTTCACTCGAGTAAAAAGGTCGCGACTGAGGAGGCCTTCGGTTCCGTGGATGAAACGCCTTCGCCCAGTCCACACCCACCCAACCCGCATCCGCCACGGCGACAGGTCGACGAATGCACGAGAAAAACTGGGGATCGATTCGGTTGTTGATCAGGAACGAGAGTGAAAAATGGACTTCCTCCGATTTTTCCCTTCACGTGTAGGCCAGCATGAGAGAGAGGAGGGGCCGACACGAGAGAGAGGGGGCCAACGTTGCCAGGAAACCTAAAGTAAACCGAGAGGCTCGTCGGGAATCGGCAGTTATCGGATTCTGTAATTTCACTAAGGAAAGAGCACATCGCGACCTCCGCACGCGGACTAAGGGATTGCAATGCAACCCTAGGTTCGATGGTGAGAACTCGACATGCAGGGTACAACTGTCTTTTTTCGGTACCGTGGCCCGCAGCGACGGTTCAAGTCGAAAAGAAAATACGGTCACAGGACGACAAACGGTTCGACAAATACTTAGATCGTCACCGCCAGAGTGAGACAGCCCTCGCCCCGCGGTTTGGGGATTTAACAGCTAACTGGTTTTTTTATTATCCCTTTTGCGGTGTTCTGTGTTATTTTCTCTGTGCGGTGTATTGTGTGCGTGATTCTTAGTTAATCGGCCTATCGGGATCGTAGGATAGTAAAAACTCGAAATTTGCTTGCAGAGTTTGCCCGGGCCAAACCCTTAGCTCAAAATGATCCTCGTCGGACTCATTCCCATGCGCGGTATCGAGAATAGTCAACAGGCAGATAGATGTACGAGGGTCACTCAATAAGTTATCTACCTGAATAAGAAACATTCGAGAGGAAAAATAAGACTTTATTTTTCAATGTAGTCACCTTTTAGCTCCAAACACTTATTCCACTTTGATTCCAAGGATTTTATTCCCTGGGAATAGAAGTCAACTTCTTGTCCATCAAACCAATCAGAAACGGCAACTTTCAGCTCTTCATTGCATGAAAATCTTTTTCCCCGCAAAAATTTTTTCAAGTGTCTGAACAGAAAATAGTCACTAGGAGCCAGATCCGGGCTGTAGGGAGGATGGTTGAGCTCCTGAAAGCCACACTCCCTCA